GAGAGAGAGAAACCAAATGGACATCCTCACACTTTAGCGCTTTACTCAAAATGACGCGTTCCACCGAATTCATGAATATTGATTCTAAGCTAAGTGACCAATAACAAGAGAATACGTCAGAAGTCAACATGTGGAATATGCAAATGATTATCTTTCCGGCAAAAACAGTCAAAAACAGATAAAATATACACTGGCAAACCTATTTCTTTTTTTTCTATGATTCATCCACATAATTTGAGGGTACATCAAGACATATATTAAAGAAAGTATATTGAGTAGATGTGCGGTTGTTTTGGCGCCAAAAACGATAGCAAACAACGGTAGCAGACGGCGCGCATATAGTGGTGGGGAGACGGTACCTTTTTTACGTTACCAGCGATGAGCGGAGAAGGTACGTAGTTTTTCTGTTTGCCTTTCAGCCGTTCATCCAATAATATCATGTGAATATATCTCCACCTAAGTTATTTGACAGAATAAAGTTGCTTTTTGAATCAGTGATAACGCTACGTTCTGATTTCAAGAAGAGATCCCCATCTTGAATTATGATAAGATTTAAGGAATTTGAGTGCGCGCTCTTGATAAAGATATCTTTGTTTTTTCTGGGGATTATAAGGAATGTTACCAAAGTCTGAGGACAATGTTACCCCTACCTGCAAACGCGGATGATAACCTATCTGATATCGCGTCAAATTCCCCCGTGGTAAAAGGGAAACTTTCATAGCAGGGAAAGAAGCAGATAGGGACGGAAAAACATCTGAGGAACTCGACTAGGCAGTAGAAATTATTTAGGGAGAGAGGGAAGGAGACGCTTGCGATGAAAGGAAGCGTGGGGATCGCGAACGCGAGAGGGTCTGGAGATAGTCCAAACGTAATTCATGCAGAAGAATGCTTTTGAAAACAATGTCTAATGGGGTATGCGAAGAAGATATTACAGAGGCAGAACGGTACAGACAATAACCCTTACAATAGTGTCGGAAGGTAGTCATGGGAACGCAAGGCGAGAAGATAGTGAGGAAAGAAACACTTAGAAAATATTAAGTTAGCCATTTAACACCCGTTAGTGACCAATAACAAGCAGACAAGTGATGAGAAGGGGAGCAGGGATGGCGCAGTGGTGAGAGCACTCGCCTCCCACCACTGTGGCCCGGGTTCGATTCCCGGACCTGGCGTCACATGTGGGTTGAGTTTGTGGTTGGTTCTCGTCCTTGCTCTGAGGGTTTTTCTCCGGGTCCTCAGGTTTTCCTCCCTCCGCAAAAACCAACGTTCCAAATTCCAATTCGATCTGGAAACAGTGGATAATAAGAGCCACCCAGTGGATGTCCATTGCTAAATTATTTATTTATTTATTTTATTTATTTATGAGAATAGAAAAAAAAAAAACCAATCACGGTAACTACTACTAGTTGGTTTAATATCAAATTCTGCGAACTAACATCACAAGAATTTTTTGTAGCAGACAGTAACGGGACTTACTAGTGGAATCTTTGAAGTTAAAGGGATAAACGCATGCATGAATTAGAAAAAGGGAACTTCCATTGTTGATTTTACCCAGGATTTGCGACTTCTAGATGTGATCAAAATTAAACTTCACACAATCTTAATTCAATTTATAAAAGATGATGAAAACATATGAACTTATCTCCTGGGTGGTATTAACTTGATGTAACACCAAATTCTCTCATCGAATGTTTAGAGAGATACAGAGTGGTTAGAGGGGAGAGGTAATAGTCAGATTTTGGGAACTGGAGACTAGGATAAACCGCGCTGCGATGGAGCTTAAAAATTTTACTCAAAATAGTTGTATTTGGTATAATTCAAGAGCTGAGCAAAGACTTTCCAGCCATCTGATTGGTCGAGCGGTTCCTTATATGACGCCATATAAACCGCTCCACGCGGTTTATATAAAATGTTAATAAATGTTACTAAAATGTTATGATTTTAGAAATTTCTCTGTTGTTCAGCTCTGAAATTATACTAAAACAATTATTCGCCTCAGGTTCGGCGTATAGAAATGCGCAACGGACGCTTCAGGGAACGGGAAATGCTAAATTAAACGCGAGAATTTCGCACTTGTAAAAGAATGAATTTTGATTACATAAGGGAAAGGACTAAAAATGAACGAGCTCCCGTATCAGATAAAGTTTAATTAAATGGATTGATTAGGGAAATCTGAGGCGAATTATTCAAAGCACATTAGGGTTACAGCAGGGAAAGCTACGGAAATTATTGTAACGGAAATAGGACAAGGGAACATATCTCGATCATCAATAGCAAAATGGACTGTCGAAGCACTTGGGAGAGTTAGACTAATTGCTGAGTCATTCTATTAAATAGAAGCCATCTAACTAAAAACGGTTCTGTCAATATTTGGCTGAAATGCACTGTGATCACGATGTGGAGGGCTTGAAAAAATGTTACTTAAATGTGTCAATCAGGAATGTACAAGAAAACAGGTGCAAAGCAATAAAACTAACGCTGTTCCAGTGCATACCGAGTGTGCTTCACGGCAATTCTTTAAGATGTCATGTTCACCTCTAAAGGAAGCGCTGTGGGATATCCCAATGTAACGGCTGCGATATAGATTTGTGCATTCGGAATTTTTGGGATACACGTTATAGCATGGAGCTGGGATTCGGGAAACTTCATTCAGTCTATTCAACTTTGACAGTAAATTACGATGAAAAATGAAAAGTTTCAAAGTGAATTCTTCTAATTCCATTCTTCTCTATTTCCACATGTAAGAGATAAGATTGCGTAACGAATTAAATTCTGAGCAAATCTTCTTTGCCTACTGATGAGAAATACTAATATATTAATGTATCGATACTAATAAATTATTGCAATGTAACGAGTTGCTGGGTGAAAAAGCAATAATGAACCATAAATACATTATTTGAACAATTCTAAGTGAAAAAATAAACACCCAAACGAACAAAAATAAAAAACTGACACGGTAGTATGCATGCATATCGAGTTGAAGTATCCTAACGCCTCTCCAATTTCGGAAGTGTTCTTATCCTGAAAAATACTCAGTGTATGATAGCAGAGATCTCCATTAACTAAAATATTAATGTATGGGCAAACTCTTAGATATGTAAACACTTTTTACATCACCGCTTGGTTCTAAATATCAGTATCATAGGAAGATGTACATCTGTGTAAGTATATTACATTAGAATAAACTTCTTCAAATAATAAATTAGAACTAATTAGTATGTAAAGATATGTCGATCTCTTATTTATTCGAGTTTTTAAAATGTCTTTGGTATCACAACCGGTAAAAACAAGCAAAAGAAACGCGTTCATGAGCGACAACGAATTTTCTTAAAGTTTTCCTTGAAACTAGAACGCGTACGGCCTCCGGTATTAGTGCACTGCTGACTGAACTTAAAACTATAGAAGGGAACTCAAGCAAATCACGACGGAGACGGTCCTGAGAGGACGTGAAGATGACGAAAGGTTTAAGAGGAGAAAAACTACCACTCTGTCTAATAAACTCTTATTTTGCAAAATTCCTACGTGAATGTATCCAATGAAGAGAAAAAAAAATTAACACTACACGTGCGTTTCAAACTGTGATCATGTCTTTAACTCTTATATTGCGAGCTCCAAATTATTCACGTCTAAAACAGTTGTAACTGAACTTGGCATTTTCAAGTTATACGGAAGAGAAGCGTGCCAAGTATGGTTCGGACGTATAGAGAAAATACTTCAAGTCTCGCGCGAAATTCTAAAGAAAAAGGAAGTGAAATTGAAGGGATGCACTCCTGGGTGTCAAGGTGATTGCTTAAGCTCCTCTATAGTTTCATGTGTACCAACTCATCCACATCGAAATAATACTCTAAAGCGCCATAAATTTGAAGATTTTGTCTTCTCTGTGTAACTCGTAATCAGTCAAATATGCTATTTCCAAGCTCTCTTAATTTTCCGTTCGTATGTCGTGGAGTATGCTACGATGTGTCCTTCTGATATCCTCCCAGCAACTGGTTTGTTAGCTGCCGAAAAAAGAACACAAGATATTTGATTTCAACAAGATCTCGGAATTCTTAGTGGTAATGTTATTCAGTTTTACCCAGCTCGATTATTATGTTGGCCCGGCATAACTTACATTCACAAACTTGTCTTTAAGTTCCATCCTTAGTTCATCTTCGGTCACACCGCGAGGTACAAGGGAACTCAGAGATGAAGATGGGTTTACATTGAGGTATTTTTCAATCCTTTCTTTTGGCAAGTAGTCCTGAATGGCTTTCATCTGACATGATTTGGAAGAAACAAACGAACAAAAAAAAAAACATACAAAGGATTAGAGATTCAAAGGTATAGGAAGTATTTCCCAAAGGGGAGGGGGTTTCCTGATCTAACGTCTTAGTGGGGGTGAGTGAGCCGAGGTGTTTTTATAACATCACTTTTCCTGACAAAGCTACAGCTATTTTGATGCCTCAGCCTGTAAAAGAAAGGTAAGTGGATGGAAAAGCTAATATTTCTAGTTTGGAAGATCTCACCAAGGAAATAGGAAGGGGTAGAGAGGGAGGAGAAATACGGTCTCAAAGTTCCAGCTTCCAAAAATTATAGCCATGAAACCTTTTATAATTCTGTGAGTATCAAACCAGAAAGAGTCACAAACCGACACTGTAGCAATAATCAATGATTTTTACCTTAGGTGCAGGAAGTTCCTCCGCTCTTCTCGCGTCTGATAATCGAACATAAACTGAACTGCCTTCCAAAAGCTTAATCTTAGAGATTAAACAAACAAACAAACAAACAAACACGAAACGATAAGAATTGGTGAGTCACATTTTCCTCGCACGATGTAACAAATAAAAGAAAGCATTGCAGAAGAACGTTACACCTATGGTTTAAATCCCTGTTGTAATCGCGATGAAATTTCTCCTTATAATTTCAGTAGATCTTTCCTGAGAAAAACTATAAGAATAGAGAAACTTATCAGCTGCAAGGCGTTATTCTTGATGCAGCACCGAATTCTCTCAACTAATTTAAAAGGAAATGTAGAGCAACCATGAGGGAGAATTGCTACTCTTACCGCCTTTCTTCTCCGAAAGTTACCAAGTACATTGTGACAGTTATCGCTTTCAAGAGAATTAAGCACAGCCTGTAAGAAAATAAAAAAGCAATAAATCGAAAAGAAATATAAAAAAGGTGAAAATCGTAGAAAATAAACATCTCATGAGTTGATTGCAAATTTTAAGAACTAAATTTTTTTCCTATTCAGTCAGTTTTAACCACATTTATTTTCATTTAGACTTATTTTTTAGGGAGTTTTCACATAGGGATAACCTCTTAACTTCCTTTTCTGGAAGCATATTTTCCATTTCCTCTTAGTGTATACATAGTCTGCTTCTGGAATAAATAAAGTATGTATGTATGTATGTCAGGAAAGGATGTTTAAATAAACGTGTGACAATGGCGAAGACAGTCTTCGACTGATTTTTCGAGACAATCTCATTTGTTTTGATAAAAAAAACAGTAGTTACATACATTGCCTTCCCTTTCTCACTGATCACAATTTTAACTTTTTTCAAAGTTCCTTCAGCATTCCAAAAATTTTTGCCAAGGATTGTTGGTCTCTCACGAAAAGTTGTTTTCATTTCGATAGAAGCACCCACGTTTGCTTATAGCATAGTGCACATGGCGGGAGAGGCTAGTCTGGATAATCGAAAAATCCGGATAATCGAGGTGCGACTGTAATTTGTTATAAACAGCTTAACATTAGCTATCATGCAACCATACTTGGTATCGTTAATTAGCCAGACACACTCATACTGCACTAAATCTATGTTCTGAAAGTACCTCAGGGGGGTCCCCATAGTACAGAGGAAGCTGATAACAACCGTTCATAACATAACCTTCATCAAACACTTGGACAGCGGTCCACGCCTAAAGCAGACAAAATGTTAGACAAACACAAAACAATTACATGAAAATTACTTACACAACTTCTAAAAAATATTTATCGTTGACGATTCTGAGGTATCTCATACTTCATTTCTTCTATAAGTATCAAGACTCTGTGGTTCTTTCACAGTCAAAACTATACTGACAGTTCATAAAACAATATAAGATTGGTTATCAGGTATAGAACCCTTTCATTACTAAAGGTGAGCGAATCCAAGGGAATTAATTTCAAGACGAAGGCTACGAGAAAAGAGAAAAATGTCAACTTCAGGATACCATTTGATTCAATACCAAATTCTCGAAGCTGAAAATAGAAGAAATGTATATCAGATAGTGTGGAGAATTGAAATTAGAGCGTGGGACTGACAGGGCTAAGATATATGTGAGACAGATCCAGTAACCTCTCATCGGTTTTATGATTTTAAACTATAGGTTTTCAAAAGAGCAGTTAGGTAGAGGCGATAAATGATCAATAGAGAGTCTGAAGGAGTCTATTAACACGGACCTGTCCTTGTAAACTGTAAGATGTTTTGGTTTGAGTTGTGTCCAATACCAACTCGTGAAGATGGACGATAACAACCATAAACCTGTGGTAAATACGGCGGGGAAACGCCTGCCAAACAAACCAACAATATGATACAGTGAGGTGCCGTGTGTCAAGAAACTTCGCATGAGGGCAGAATAGCCTGCAGAAAATTGTCATTCTTAGGGGTTTTTCAAGCTAGCAGAGACACGCGCAAGGCGAGAATGGGGACAGCGCAAGGAACGAGTGACACGCGAGAGGATCTGCGAAAGCTAAAGTCAAAGTTTTTATCATGGCTAGTAACATAGCTTCACCTTAAAAAATGTAACCTTCATATCCGTTTTATCAAGATGACGCATGCTTCAAGTTGCACAAAAGTAAGCCTACTGGATTCACTTACCTTCAGTCCATCTTTCCATACAGGAGAGGCGACACTACTGGAGAACACAGCTTTTGTCACGTGGTTCAGCGAATCCTCTCTGGCACCCTTAAAAAGAAATTAACCAACAAAGAAATAAGTGAAGAAAGAAGAAAATAATTGCCGTACCATCTCTGAGAATTCAACACAGATCTGGCTCAAAAAACCCGTCAGAAAAGTCTACGATAGTTTTCTCTCACTCACCCGATAAAATGACGCCGGAGGCGACAGACAGTAGCTGACTAATGTAAAATTGGACCATGGTAAATTCTGCGCAGCATCCACGGAGATCTGGTATTTGTTGCAAAATATAAAAATTTATAACATACCAAAGTAAAGCGCGCGCTCTGATTGGTCAATTTGCCCATGGGTGTACACTGCTGACGTGAGCAAATGCAAAGACTATTTTTCCGCGCGCGCTTGTTTTTTCTGGTCATGTAAGATTTGTTAAATAAAAGGGAACTCTTAAGCTACAATGTATCAATGTTATGTTATAAAACAAATGGTAAACACCACAGCGTACACTATTGAGTTATGGATGCACTTGGGAGGTTTGCTAAGCACTCAAGAAGCTAGAGTCGCTCTCGGCTATCGCCTCGAGCGACTCTTACGCTTCTTTCGTGCTTAGCAACCTCCCGCGTGCATCCATAACTCAATAGTGTACGCTGTGGTGTTTACCATTTGTT